GGTTTTGGGAAGTGCGTGTATGTGTGTGTGGGTGGGGAAGAAGTAGAGATAACTTGTTCTTGCTGAGTTTAAAAAAAAAAAAAAAGCATGTGAATGTGCAAAACCACATCGTGAACAATTAAAATTCAGTTAACCTCTCACCATATTTAGATCATTCTGTAACTGCTGGTTCAAGTTCAGAAAGTCTTTCACTTGAGCTTCCAGCACTGCGATCTTTTCCTCTTTCACAGCTAGTGTTGTTTTTAGTGCCGATTCAGTTTTGCTCTCCAGAATCTTGTATTTTCTGAAAGACATGAGAATAGCTTTCCAATGTCTGCCACTAGGATATGAGCCACCATCTATGTAGGAGACTTCACCTTCATCCACTCCAAATCTCACCACGTGTTACATTATATGCGTTTGCTTCTTCAGGAAAATTATTTCCTCTATGGCCGCAGATCGCTACTGATATATTATAGCTGGGGAACCTCCTTTTGCAAAATCCAATCAATTTTAATAAGGGTAATGCCAGCATGGTTCTACAGAAATATTTAAGAGCTACAGAACTTAAAAGTAAGTTTTTCTCTTTTTCCCCTAATTACACTACAGCAATTTCTTCTCACGGCTCTTTTGTACATTCTTGACACGGAGAAAAATCTGCAGTAGATTCTGAAGACTCCTACAAGATGGGTATGTTTCTCTAGTTAGGTCTTACCAAGAGGCCTATATACACATGAGTTGTTGGGGTTTCTTTGTTCATTACTTTAGGACTTGCAAAGGAATTCCTTGCAATCAGGAATTTCTTAGGCAATATCTATGTTTATATTAACAGGTGGTTGGATCACTAATTACATGGAGTAACGACAGACACTGTGTAATAGACACTATTCTTACTTGTAAAGAGAGCATGACGAGGAATACACACTGAAATAGCTACCCAGCTACTCTACTGGGGAGCAGAGGGGGACTGTAGTAACACTGGCTAGCATGGAGAGAGAAAATGGCATTTCTTCCTTCCATCCAATAAAAAGTTTTGCAAAACTTGCAGTATACTGCCAAGCTTGCTACAGAAAAATATGCTTTATGTCCAAAATTGGCAAGGGTAATTGGAGTGAGACAGATGAGAACCAAAAAGAAAGGCAAAGGGCTTAAGTTAGGCTGAGGAAAAGCCTGCAGAGTCAAAGGAATGACTAAGAGAGCTCAGTTTCCTTACGAGTCATCATTGCCATTGTGATCCTGTAGCAGCAGCTCTTTGTTCAATCCTATCTTCTCCAGTTCCTGGCTCAGTTTGTCCAGCTCATTAGACAACTGTTGACTCTTCAGCTTCTCCAGGACCAAATCCTGTAACAGCACTAACATGATTAGTTGCTCTGCAAAGGGTGTTGATAATTATCTAGCACTATAGATTTTTTTAAAAAGTCATTAGATAAAATTCTAGTTCCAAGAAGGCCAGCTAAAATTCTTCATCAGTGACAGCTGAGTGCAGAATTAAACTGATTGCTTTTATTTATAGTTTACTTGGAATAAATCTGAATGCTTCTTTTGGCCTTTGTCTCTCTCACTGCACTGAATTCCATCTGCCAACACTGGCATCCTGCCCGTCTGCCAAAAGAGGGAATGTGTGCAGGCTAGGAGACATCCTGCCCTTGTACCACAGAAGGGATATGTGCAGGTCAGGGAACACCAGCAGAGGGAGTTCCCACTTCTCAGCCAGGACAAAAAGTCCTGCTGAAAAGCCACGCCAACACGGGCACACACACAGAGGAGTGACAGGACTTCAGTATGAAAGTTTCCTGAGATAATATGGTTAAGATGTTATCACCAAGGGACTTGGTAGTAGTGCATTTTCACTATTGACTGCGAGTTTCTGACATATGGTAAATTACTGCCAAAATTAAAAAAGCATAATTACATTGTCATGTAAGAGACAGGACACCTCTGGAGACAGAGCTTGGTCACTTACTCTGGTACCTCCTGGCCCATTCTGGTTTCATTTAGGTTTCTTTGGAAGAAACTTAAGCAGAACCAGACAAGGAAGTCATACGAGGAGGAGATTTGATAGAGCTGTACCAGAAGCTATATTGGGACAACGCTTTGCTGTTATGCCAGTAAAGTGGTCTGTGTGCAAATGGCCTGAGAATACATAATACCAGCCTGCATATTTAAAAAGGACAAATCATTTTTGGTGCATAGCCAAGTTCAAAGATTCCTACCATTCAAAATTCTCTGAAATGCAAATGTACCACAGAGAACTACATTGCTCATGTTTCTGCTCAAAAGTTTTCTTAAACAAGGCATGAGGAAATAACAACAAAGTTACTGAAACACTTCAAGTAAGACAAAAAAATTATTCTGATATCAAACAGAAGCAAGAACAAAATTAAAAAAAAAAACTTTGTTAAACATAAACTGTAGATATTCTATAGTCCTTTGATATCACAGATTTAGCCACATATTCATTCACATGGCAAGGGAAAAAAGGTAAGGTTAAGGTCATTGCCAGTCTATAGTCTGTAAACAGGTCCCTTCAATATCCATGAACTCCTTCTGTAGAATCTATAGAAAGTAACTAAGGAAAAGAAGATATATTTCTGCACCACTGGAAGTCTGACAAGGGAAAGATTAAAAAGGAGCCTTCTCAAAAATGCTATTTTATTTATTTTTAAGGAAAGTTGGATAGAAACACAACTTGGGACTGTTTCAAATGTTTCTGATAAACTTTTTTTTTCCTCCTCAAAATTACACTAATGCTTCAAAAACTAAAATAAAACTAGATCTTCAAGTAAGTTAACTGCTTACTGCATTAGTCTTGCTAAACTAATTTATTTCACTGAGCTACCACAGCATTGACCGTTTTCCTTTGAATGCTCTTTCACAGGAAATCCTGTTTCTAGCAGGACAACGGCAGCTGGGACAGGCAATGAGAGCAAACCACAATAACCTGAATCTGCTCATAGGCCACTTATAAGAGTATCAGGTTCTGGCACACACATCATTAGTTTGCCAATGTCCTAATGCTAATTGCGTATTTTTAAAAGGTGACTTCTAGGAAAAGTGCGATTACTGCATTCTGCAGTGGTGGGGGGTGGGGTGCTGGAAGAGATCGCTGCTTAACAACAGAGCTGCTCAGCATGCTCTCACTCTGCATGGAAGCTTTTGGGGAAAAACGCTGTAGGTAGCAAAAACTTGGTGCAGCTGTTTTTGAAAGGGTTAGGTTGGTCATCTGGGATGGTTCTTGTCTTAGCTAAGTCTTTTAGAACAGGGATGTTAATGTGTCCTCAACAAGTGCTCTAATTTCTAGGCTTAAGAGTCAATCCCCCCTGCTGGAGCTCTCACGTTAGCAAACAATTTTGTGGTCACAGGGTTAGAGAAAGTATCAAAGTCCTTGGTTTACAGCTACCACGTGGGAGCTATGTTAAAACCCTATTCTGCATGAAAAAAGATGTCATTTGGAGACATTGTGTTTGTGGACACAAAGTGGTACATTGCAGTTTTTGGCAGGTTCCACTTTCCAAGGCAACAATATCCAGTGATGGCTCTTAAAGCTGTGAAGATCTCCTAGTTCATGTATTAAATAGTCATGGCACGGCTGTCTCCCTTTGGTACTTCACAGAGCTGAAACAAAAAATAGCACCGTATTGAAACCAGTAGTATTATTTTGCTTACCTCTCTCAATGTAGCTAGTGTTCTTTTATCAATTGTAACTTGCTTTATGAGATCTTTATTGTCCTTTTCAAATTCTTTCAGCTTATTAGATGAATCTCTGAATCGAGCAACTTCCTTTTCTAGTGTCTTGTTTTCTTTCTCAGCAACTGCCAACTTTACTGTACTATCATCCAAAATAGCATCTTTCAGCTCCACTTGCTGCCAAAGCCGTTTTGTTTCTTTCTCTAGCATTTTTTTGTCTTTCTCAAGCTGAGACATTTCTTGTTCTAGGGCTTTGTTCTCCTTTTCTAACCTCTCTAGCTGTTTGGCAGAAATCTTTAGCTCCTCAAGGTTTCTCTGGAGAACTTGATTTTCACTCTCCATTCCGTGTACTTCTTTTTCTAGCTCCTGGATCTTTTTGCTGCTGTTCTCCAAGATTTGCTGAAGTCTCTGGTTTTCAGAGTTGATGCTCTGATAGCTTAACTCCAGCCTCTCCGATTTCTTGCTCATTGCTTTTAACATTTCCACATTCTTCCTTAAGTCCTCTTTCTCCCTCTCCAAATCTTTATTTTCTGCTTCTATTTGTGCCATTTTTGTGGTGGTAAATCTCATGGTCTCCACCACTCTCCTAAGCTCCAGATTTTCTTCATCCAGTTGCTTGTTGTCCCTTTCCAGGTCCCCTAGCCGGATGGAAATATTCTGCAATGTGTCCAGGGATTTTCTTAGCTTCCTATTTTCTACTTCCAGATCCCCATTCTCCTGCTCGAGAACTTCAACTTTTTCTGTCACTATTTTCATCGCTGCTGCCTTCTTTGTGAGCTGTTCATTCTCCCTCTCCAGCCGATGGAGCTCTTTTTCCATTTCTTCCTTTCCAGGTCCCCTAGCCGGATGGAAATATTCTGCAATGTGTCCAGGGATTTTCTTAGCTTCCTATTTTCTACTTCCAGATCCCCATTCTCCTGCTCGAGAACTTCAACTTTTTCTGTCACTATTTTCATCGCTGCTGCCTTCTTTGTGAGCTGTTCATTCTCCCTCTCCAGCCGATGGAGCTCTTTTTCCATTTCTTCCCAAAAATCCTTTTGCAATTGTTTCTTCTCAAATTCCAGCTTGCTCAGTTTGCTACTAGTCTCTGTAACCGTTTCATGGAGAATCTTGTTCTCTTTTTCAATATCTTTTACTCGTGCCTCGCTGCTCACTTGAGATCTTTGTCTCAGGGATAAGACCACTTGATTAAGGTGATCATTTTCTTGTTTAAGGTCCTTTATCTACATAAACAATAAAAAATTCATGCAAATGTTACTCATCTACCTTACAATGTGCAGTATAAACTAGTCCTGAAACAGAGAGGACAAATCCATGTCCATTTAATCCAAGACAAATTCCTCAACAGTTTTTCCTGACTAAAACCAACAACATGAATATATGAAAAAAATTGTTACCTCTGGTAACATGGGATTCTAACAAATTAGAAATGGTGCTATATTCCTCCTACCAGCTAAGAAGGTCGAGGCAGAGGGAGAAAGTGGACAGGTGACCTTCAGAGAACACTGTGGAGAGGATGCTTTGTTAAGAAACATTCCTAATAAAGGGTATCTTTCTGTTTAGGTTTACATTCAGCATCTTTAGGATCCCAAAATACAAATTCTCTCTGATAAGGTGTCAGAAACCGCAAAATGTTTGAAAATTTATAGCAGTTATAGATCTCATTAAGGACACAATTTCTGTAAAAACAGTACACTTACCCCACCGGCCAAATTTCAGCTGAAGCAATTGTGATTTAGACTGCAATTTACATTTGATTCTTATCTAGATAATATCCACATAAATAAAAAAGGACTTAAAAAAGTCACAATCTGCCCTTTTCTGATGATTGAGGATACTTTGGTTTTTACTTCCTGCCCTACCTGTGACGCATTCATTAATTCTTACCACAAAGAATCTGTAATGTGTTCTAACTGAAATATAGGACTTCAGTAGTAATGTGCAGTTTCCCAGGTGGAAGTCTATGTAAGAATCCTTCAAGATGAAAAGCACTACACAAATAAGATATTTTGTTATTAATTTTCACCCCACAAATCTTGGAGTAAATTTTAATTTTGAAGGTTGAAAATATATAGACTAGCCTCCAATGATCTGTGTCTGTATTTTTTTCACTAGCCAAATTAATAGATGATAGGTTTCAAGGCATTGTACATGTACTGCAACACAGCAGTAAAAGCTGAAGGGCATTTAAAATATCAGTCCAGAAGACATAAATGCTCCTTCAGCATCTTTTTAAAATAGAGAAAAAAGCCTGTGTGTCTAAAAAAACCCAACCAATCCAATCAGGAGATACAGCTGGCAGAAGACCAATCTTCTGCAATAAAACAGGGTTTTATTTGCACATTCTAAAACCAGTTGGAATCCCATTTAGTAAAATCCAGGGCTTTTTTCCCCAAAGAGGGAAGGTCTGTCCTTACAACAGCCTGAAGATCCCCCTATGGTTACAGGAGCAGTAGGTACCAAAACATACTGGGCTTTTTTGCTCGAAGAAGCTTTTTACCTACATTTGAACAAGTTCAACCTGCACTTAATAGCTCTCAAATTGCCCTATGTCCCTGAGAGAACCAGATGCTCTAAATGGCATCAGTAAATCACCATTACTGAGCATATACTTTTATATTACATTTCTGAGGTTTGCACCTGTCTGTCTTTGTCAGCTTTTAGAGTCTCCATGACAACTTGCAGCTGTTCCTTATCTTTTATCAGCTCCTCGCTCAAGGTCTCCAGATCTTGATTACTTTGCTTCTCTTTTTCGATTTGATTTTGCAACTTCTCAATCTGTGTGGAGACAATACACCGAAACACATCAGCCACAGCTTGACACAATGACTGTTTGCACTTTAAGTTATTTTGAAGACCAGAGAGGAATGAGATGGGGACTATGGCTGAAAGATGTAATCCTCCCCTTCTGTAGCTTGCCAGTCTCAGAGGAGGAAATGGACTATTTTGTTGTTCTCACATGCCAAGAATTTCCTTCAATGCCTATTAAGATCAGAGCATATAACGTACAGCAGTAAGAAATGTTTCACCTGTCTGCCTGAATGCCCTGTTGTGCTCCTGTCGTCAGTTTCTGGAGCTCACCCTTCTGCAGGACTTGCCTCCTCCCAGTCTCTCTATCACTGATGGCCTTAATCTACCAGTGAATGCGGAGAAAGTTATTAAGACAATTCAGTGAGCAACAGAATTTAAAAAAAAAAAAAATCAGAAACAGAGGAAAAGCACTGGAGTTTCCAAGTTTATCTTCCCTCTCCCTGTGCTCTGTTGGCCCTCTGTTTTCCCAGCAGGAGACAACACTGGATTTGAAAGATTTTTGAGTAAGGTCCCAGTCCTACAAAGAACTATGTCTTCTTACTCCCTCCTTTTGAAAGTTGTACTCATAATGCACTAAGCACTGAAAAGCAGTAGCTCTTCAGTATTTAGAAGTGAGGGGTTCAGAGAGCGAGGCTCCCCAACTCAGGAAGTATTCCTTTTTATGCTTGTAAAGTACTGTGGGCACCTACAGCTCTGCAGAAGTATCAGCTCATTTTTTTGTGTTGGTATTAGAAACTTTGCCAACAGTGAAAATGTCAATGAAAAAGGTATTAACAATAATTCTTACAAGTGGGAAATAGCTGGAGGCTGGGCTTTGCCTGTGTCAACATGTGCCTCGTTACAGGAAATGTTTAAACAAGCAGGGGCTGCCCAGATTGGAGATAAGAAGGGCTTAACAGTTAGAAATGTAACCATGTTAAGGTTCATTGGTCTCAAAGGAGCTGTTCAGAGAAAGCTGGAACATAAACTCAGTAACTCAGCAATAGCTGGTCTTCATTAGCACCTCCCAGAAAACTGGAAGCAAGTAAGAAACTACTGTTTACAGCTTGTTTCAGTCCAAGAAGTTAGGAATGCAGAGAAAACAGATAGGTACTTGGACTGTTGCTACTTGACTTTGCCTCAAAGGAGGGTTTTCTTTTATTAGCACCTCTGAAAACCTTGCAAGAAAGGAAAAAAAAAAAAGTACATGATTTTCCTTTGTATCATCTCCTCTTGTACTACCCATATAATCCTGTTCCGGCTACATGATCCTTCCAAGCATTAGATTAGTAGACAGCCAAGCATACTCGGACAATTTTTGAAAGTCTCAGGCAGTGAATGAAATCTGAATTCAGTTAAATGACTTTAGGGCGGCAAGATTTTACTATGGGTATCTCAGGAAAGTTACAAAAAACCCATAGGCATACAACATTTGAGAAAAACACTTCTTTATCTCTTGTCCTGTGTCTTTATACGTGCTTGTCTTTAACAGTCCTCAAGAACTGTTGCCCTCTCCTCTGCCTACTGTAGAAACCATTCTGCAATGAATCAGAGACACCTCCCCTATTATCCCCCCTTCCCCTAGCACACTCCCTCATGGACATGCATACCCTCTAATTAAGGGGATACATGTGTGAGAGAAATACAAAAGCACACCAGAGGAAGAGAAGATTAAAAAAAATTTTTTTCAAACATCTCAAACCCAGCATTCTTCTATGATGGAATGACTACATCAGTAGACAAGGGAAGAGCTACGGATGTCATCTATCTGGACTTCTGTAAGGCCTTTGACATGGTCCCCCACAACATTCTTCTCTCTAAGTTGGAGAGATATGGATTTGATAGGTGGACTGTTTGGTGGATGGGGAATTGGTTGGATGGACGCATCCAGAGGGTAGTGGTCAACGGCTCCAGATGGAGATCGGTGACGAGTGGTGTCCTGCAGGGGTCAGCACTGGGACTGGTACTGTTTAGTATCTTCATCAATGACATAGACAGTGGGATCGAGTGCACCCTCAGCAAGTTTGCAGACGACACCAAGCTGAATGGTGCGGTTGACACGCCTGAGGGACGGGATGCCATCCAGAGGGACCTGGACAAGCTTGAAAAGTGGGCCTGTGAGAACCTCATGAGGTTCAACAAGGCCAAGTGCAAGGTCCTGCACCTGGGTCGGGGCAACCCTCAGTATCAATACAGGCTGGGGGATGAAGGGATTGAGAGCAGCCCTGCCGAGAAGGACTTGGGGGTACTGGTGGATGAAAAGCTGGACATGGGCCAGCAATGTGCGCTCCCAGCCCAAAAAGCCAACCGTATCCTGGGCTGCATCAAAAGAAGCGTGGCCAGCAGGCCAAGGCAGGCAATTCTGCCCCTTTACTCTGCTCTGGTGAGACCCCACTTGCAGTACTGCGTACAGCTCTGGAACCCTCAGCCCAAGAAAGACACGGACCTGTTGGAGCGGGTCCAGAGGAGGGCCAAAAAAATAATCAGAGGGATGGAACACCTCTCCTGTGAGGAAAGGCTGAGAGATTTGGGGTTGTTCAGCCTGGAGAAGAGAAGGCTCCAGGGAGACCTTATTGCAGCCTTTCAGTACTTAAAGGGGGCTTATAAGCCTGGAGAAGAGAAGGCTCCAGGGAGACCTTTCAATACTTGAAGGGGGCTTATAAAAAAGATGGGGACAGACTTTTTAGCAGGGCCTGTAGCAATAGGACGAGGGGGAGTGGTTTTAAACTAGAAGAGGGTAGATTCAGACTAGATATAAGGGAGACATTTTTTACGATAAGGATGGTGAAACACTGGTACAAGTTGCCCAGAGAGGTGATAGATGCCCCATCCCTGGAAGCATTCAAGGTCAGGTTGGACGGGGCTCTGAGCAACCTGATCTAGTTGAAGATGTCCCTGCCCATGGCAGGGGAGTTGGACTAGATGACCTTTAAAAGTCCCTTCCAACCCAAACTATCCTATGATTCTATGAAATCAAGACTATTTTACATATCATGTATCAGGTCTCTGTACACTGAGACACAACTGTATGTCTCACACAGACTACAGAATACTGTCTACTACCTTTTTTCCCCAAAATCTCCCTGAGTGGGAGGTGAAGCTTATCAACAACCTGACTGGCCTACGGTATTCAGTCAACAGCTCCCAGTCAAGAGTTCATGACTTTCAACTGCTCTTAATAGTAGTATTTTTAACTGCCATTTTTTTCTCATTGATCTGACGCATACAGCGTGCCCCTTTCACCACACAGGCATTCCCCACTACTAGTTTTTGTCTTATTTAACTACCAGACCTGTAGGTGACCCCACCATGCCAACGCATTCATCATCATCAAAAACATCAGACTAATTCTGGAATCACAACTGTTGCCACCAATACAGTGCCATAACAAGAGGTGCCCACAGGAATGTGCCTGGGGCAAAGCCAAAGGTTGACCACAGTTGTTCAAGTGACTTAAATTGCAGATATACCACAGGTATCTGCCAAGTGCTTTATATGCCTTGATCTCAAATTTTAAGCATGTAAATTAGAGCTGGAGTGAATTACTCATACACAACAGGTCATAAATGGGAGTGTAGAAAGAGTACAGTGAACTGAATTTTTGCAGTTTTCCTTGTTCACAGAAGAAAGACAAGAAGCAGAACTGGTCTCTCAACTTGGCAAAAAAATCTCTCCAGAAGATGTAGTGATCCAGTGATGAATACCTGTTTTTCTTGGCAGAGAAACTGGCACTCTGCTAGTTACAATCTGGTAATCCAAGACCAGCATTTCATATCCAGATTCTTTCTCCCTTTGTCCTTTAAAGCATTCAGTTAGCCCATAAACAGGCCAGAGAGGACTGAAATCTTTGTATCAGTGTCCCACAAACACAAGTTACAGCAGTAATGGGAAAAGGAGAAATGAGCATTATATTATATTCTGGCTAATTTAGCAAAGGTATGAATGTGGAAGAAACTGACATGGAAATTTTTTATACTTAGACTAGCAAGCTTTTCCCACTGGCACTTGGCTCAATTAATCAGAGTTCAAGATGCAAGATACTATCCAGACAAAAATATAGCTATATATAGTGGTTGGAGGTGAACTGAGCACTGTGTTTCACAAGGACAAGCACTGAGCTGGCATTTAAGCTAAATGTAATCACAGTTGATAATAGACTGCAACACACGTATATATAAAAATAAACTTAAAAAGTGATGACCTGCATGTTTGTTACAAAGATTAAAAGAAGAACCCAGATCTTTGCAGAGAGGGAGAATCTAGAAAACTTCTAACAGCCAAAAGGACAAGACAAAGAGAAAGAGCTAGGACTATGGACAGCAAAAGAGACTTATTTAAAAATACACTAACCTGAATTTACCTATGTAATTTATTTCACTTACATGGAAACAATATTAAAACTATGTGATTTATTTGACTTACATGGAAACAATATTAAAACTTCCAAACAAACAAAATAGTTCAATGTGGCCATGGCTTCCTTGACTACCATAAGACGACAAAAAGGGACACCATCAACAGTACAATCTGATGGGGCAAATGAGCACTGAGAGACAGCTTTTATGAAACAGGAACAGTCACTTTTTGCTTACAATGATGCACTTAAGTAGGCAGTGAAGTACAAGGCAATAGAATACACTAATGTTAGAACACAATTAAATAGATCAGCCCAAAAACATGCCCAGTCTTCTGGGGAACATGGGTGAATTCCCTGCAATCCCTCATCGTTCAAGAATGCCGTACAGCCCTGTGCGCACTGTGTTTAAAAGCCAAAGAGCTCTGCTCCTGTGAGCAAATTACCTTTTTGCTAAGCTGCTGATTTTCATTTTCCAGTTCCACAAACTTTAGGCTGCTCTCTCTGGAGGTCAAGGAGGCATCTCTCAGCTCTTGGATTGTGTTCTGCAAGCTCTGATTATCCTTCTCTAGCTTCAGTATGCGACTCGAAGCACATTCATTCAACTCAAACACAAAGGACTTTCTGGCTGTTGAAACATGAGAATCAGAAGGTGGCACTAACCAATTCACAAACATCTCCCTTTGTAAGTCCTTAAGATTCACTTGTATGAAGATAATTGCAATCAGATCCAGTCATTTCAGCTTGACTGTTAAGTAAACACTTTGTTAAAAACAGGTAACCATTTCAGACAACAATTAAGACCTTTAGTAAATAGGGAAGTATCTGAACAGATAACCATCTTAAAAGTTAGTTACTTTCCTAACTCTTCTTAAAGTTGCTTTAGCCATGTTAGTAGCATGTTTAATGTTAGTAGCAAAATGTACTTTGATACCCTCTCATACTTCCATCAGAGGAAATAAATTGAGGCAGAAACTAAACCACTGCAAAGTGTTTGCTAAAACAGCAAGGTGGTGCACTTCCAAAAGCTAGTGAAAGCTTAGGTATTCGATCATATTTAGTCATGGAAAAAATTCTTACAAGAGTGAGTTCCAGTGCTTATTTTCACAGCTACTTCATCAAGAATATGCTGAATCAGGGAGGATATTTTACTACCAGGTACCCAGGCACAGGACACTCATCAGAATGTTGATCATAGAGAAGTGTCTGAAGTTGAAATCTCAGAACCAACAAAATTTATGCAACTTTTACAACAGAGATGTTATTTTACTCTAAATGTTTGTCGATCAAAAGTCTCACTAACCCTCAGCCTTAACTCCCAACACCAAAGCATCATTGTTCTGCTCATCCTCTGCTCAGCACCTGAATAATTATAAGAGCAACCCTCTGTTTCACATGGAGTAATTGCCACCCTTCACCTTAAAACCATATTTCATATATGAAACTGAATTTAAATTGTCTTTAAGTCTCAGAAAATTATCCACTGCTGCTGAATAACCAGCACTAGTACATACAGCACACTGAGTACTTTAGAACTGGCAAGTTTCTGAGCATGGGAAAATCCCATTTGTCTCTTTTATGGAGCATCACCTGGAGAGTTTTGGTCAAATGAAGACTCGAATAGTAAATATTAACTAAATACTCCAGATGAGTTCTGTCCAGAAGCAAAGCCCACCTAAATGACTTTTTTCCAATGCTTAGTTTTATAATTATTTTGAATAAAATATTCCAAACTACCAGCTAAAATCTTCTGCTATCTGCCACCCTTGCAGACTCAACTTGAAATCCAGGAACTGGAGGTTTTCCAAAAAAGCTTTGCAGGCTGACTCTATTTTTACAAATAAGCTGCATTCAGAACAGCAACATGCATTGAAATGGAATTTCTTAAAGAGAATTATTGTAAAAGTAGGACAGCACTTCTGTGAAATAATTTAAAGTTTCAAAGTTTAATGTTCTTATTTTTTTTTAAATCAGGCTTCCTTCACTTATTTTTTTTTCCTACTGAATACAAAAGATTACTGATGTTCTCAGTTCCTCTGATTCTCTTTTTCTTCGGTTAATCAGAGAGGTTCTGGAGCTCCAGTGCTGAAACGCTAAGCATCAGTGCAGTGAAGGAATCTCATCTTTTTTCATTTGTTTTAAACCACTCTGTTGAGCAAATTTTGAGTTATGTTTGACAGAAATGAATAAATAAGAGATAAAATAAAACTAGCATCCTTCCTTCTATTGTATCACTAGTGAAACCAAATCAGGAAGGGGGCAAAACTTGCTATTTGAAAAAAGCCAGAAGATTACATAGTTTTACATTTTCCTGAAATACTCTTCATCAAAATTTGTAACTTTCAAGAGAACTGTGTTTCTTGCCCACTGACTGATATAATAAGCAATATCCTTGATTACACATAAGGAGGAACAGAGTACCATTCACTTCTCAGGCTAAGGTAAACCTGCTTTGCAAGATTATTAATTAAAAGTAACAATTAATTAGCCGTTAATCTTAGTAAAGATAACTCAGACCCTAGGCAGCAAGTAGATTTAAAAATTGGTGTCAGCGACACATTCAGTTATTTTACAAAACAAAGCTATTCTTCTAGACAGCTTTACTGAAAACTGAACATCTGCTTACTCTAATTTATTCCTTTGTCTTCAAGTTAAACTGTTCCTGGTACACAAAGCCAAACATGCAAGTCTTAGCAGAATCAGGTGAGTAATCAATAAAAGCTGCACACTGAACTGCATGAAATAGCTTATATTTCCCAAGTTCAATTTAGCATTGTTATTTAGGCTGGTATTATAGACAGAATGAATGTTAAGACACAGAAACCAATGCTAAAACCTGACCAGTGAAGGAAGCATTAGTTATGTCTGTGATAGTTACGGAAATCAAATCAACCATTCAAAAAAAAAAATAATCAGCCAGTTATTTTAACTGTACACATTTTTCAGTATCTAGTAAAAATAAATGACTTCAGCATACACTACTTCCTGGGACTTAAAGACCGGCTAATTGTCTGTACTAATTGTACTAAAGAATACTAAAGCTCACAGATGCCTCCCAGCCATTCAGTTAGAAATATCCAGTGTGTGGATTTTTGTGACATTTTTGCTGTGTCATTTATAAAGCTTTCTTTTTTTTGTAATTTTTATCATTTTACTTAAAAGTCACTCTCTCAGTGATGAACAAAATAAAAGGAAAACATTTTAATGCTTTCAAAAGAAAGTGAAAGAAAGTATAAGGAATACATTTTAGAAATTCAAAAACCTAAGTTCAAAGTCAAGTTGCTGAATGGGGGAAGTTCTCCAAGATTGGACTCAACTTCTGTTCTCGCCTCAGTCAACCAACCTGTCTACTCTGAAAGAGACCACAAACACAACAACAGCTACCCCAGGTGGTACTCACTATCTGCAAGATCTGTGCTTTTAGACAGTTGTTCTAGTTCCCAGCCTAGGTGTGCAGACTCGTTCATGCTCTGTTTCTGTGCAATCTCCAAGACCATGTTCTCCTCCAGCAGCTCTTCAATTCTCTTCTTGTCCGTGTCCCGGTCCTGTGCAAGACAAGCATGAATGAAAATACATATTCAGCTTATCCGAAAGATTGTTCTGTCAGTTGAACTGCTACAAGCACAACACATGTTAAGGGTAGAAGAATCTCCTATTGAAATACATGTAGAGCATTAAATGTTTGCTGTGGGCTACCATACGTGCCACAGAACGCAGTGCAGAGACACCCAACTGGCCCTGTTTAGAGTCAGCTCAGGTCCATGATACACTTGGAGGGAGGGTGACTGGAGTAAGAATATACTGGGTGATGACAGGGCCAGTACAAGCCAGGGCTAGTAAGGCAGGCTGGATTCAAGCTGTCTCCAGAGCTAAACTCTTCAAAAACATGTGGCATCATGCACTGACACACTGGAGACTCTGCAGATGTAACCTTGAATTCTACCTAGCTTCTTCAACTCATCACGTCAAATTTGGATCCAGTCATATGGATCGGCAAGTAACACCTGCCTTATAATTTGGGTTTTAAAATATCCAGAAAACATATCAGGAAAATGAATCTACCATTGCTTCTTGTGATTATTTTGGCCATTTGCATTTGTGGGAGCTGCAGTCGTGCCTCAGAGGGTCCCAAATTTTCAGGAAGCATTAACCAAAAATTCATCAAGTCACCCAGAAAAACATCATTCAAAATCAGCCACTTTGGAAAAGCTGGAGCATGAAATGACCCTTACAATGCTCTGAATCAGTCATTAAACATAACTCCACACAGCACCCTCCACATCTTTGTTTCCAACAGACCCTACTGGAAACCCTATACAGTTAAACCCCTCTGCAGTTAAACCCACAAGAATTCAAAACACAAAGGGATAAGAGGAGAACTGTTAAGTAAAATACAAGAGATGAAAGAGTATTTATTACTTCTAGTGGGATTATAAAATCCAACGTTGCTTTTTGTTTGTAGGCAATAATCTGCCACTTCTTATGTTTCCTTGGCTATGAAGCAATAAGCTACGTCTCTGATTTACACAGAAATAAATTTTGGAATTTTGTGTCTTTTACAGCGGTAATGGATTCTCCAAGTCACTGTAACGGCTGGGGGTTTTGTTTCCAACAAGAAAGATCATTTACTACAGCAGATTTCATTTCCTATATCTAAGAGATTTCTACTTAACTGACAGATTTTAACATCTCCGTTATCAGTATGTATGAAAGCAATCTGTATTTTAGAGTTATGATATACCTTCTTGCGTAAAATTAAATTCATCAGACTCACACAAAGTAGCATTGGCAATATTTACACTGTTAACATTATAATATTTCAAGAATTCATGTACATAAAGTTCAAACTAAAGACCTCTTCAAAAGCACTGTTGATTTATTTGCCTGTCTCCACTGGTTTCTGTGACATGAATCTGTGACCTAGCATAAAAACAGAAGTTCAAAAAATTAACATAATGAAAAAGAAAAGGCATACCAGCTCTACATCATGAAGTTTGGATTTCAGCTGCAAATTTTCCTTCTCTAATTCATGCAGTTTATCACCACGAGCTCTTGCCATTGTTAGCTGTTCTTCTAGCATGGCCTTTGTTTCAATTAATATGATGTTGTCCTCTCTTAACTCCTAGGGAGAAAAAGTAACAAGGCTAATCTCTTTACATAAACTGACTTTTCAAAGACCAGGTGACTTACAAACTGACATTGCAAAAACACAAGAAAGAAATTTGACATGTTTCTCTGTTTCATAAAAAAGTTTTTACCGGCTATTTTAATGGGAGATTATACTATGTTTAGCTATCTGTGTCATTAATACAAGTAACTCTAATATTTCCTATTGTTTTTTCCTGAATTTTAGAAGTTTAATGGAGTTCCTTGTGCTTTATATGAGGCTAGATCAAGAGGTGCACCAAGGAGACTCAAGACACAGAAGAGCAACTGTTCAATTCCAATTCCACTGTTATAATACCATTTCCTTAGCCAACTCACTGTAGTCCCCAGTTTCAAAATAGATTATATTTATTTACTTTCAAGGGATGTTATAGTGTATTCAAAGCATGTTCGTGAGCACTATCCATCAATATATATTATGTCCATATTCCTGTTTCAGTACATTCAGTGCACTTACATGTAAATGTCTGTTTAATAAAGTTTCTTCTCTCTCATGAACAGAATTTTAATTCATTTAAACAAGAGAAGTTGTTTTACACTTATCACTTAACACCCCACCCCATGTCCAGTAAACACATGAGCATTAACTGCACAAGCCACGTTGCTTATCCATTACAGCTTTTGCATCTGTTTGTACTGAGTAAAAGTTTAACTTATTATTCTGCTGTAGCCACAGCATTAGAAAAAAGTTAATTATACTGCACTCCGAACGTTCCTTGCAAAGCAACAAATGAAGCTCTCTGCCTTCAAGTATCTGATCTCCAGAAACATGAAACGTCCAAAGCATAAAATCTGGCCATGTATTCTTGGTCATGTTTTAAACACATTTGTTAAATTATGTCTTATTTCAACTTATAATACCTCACTGCTAGCTTTTACTCTTGTTGATCCTCAGATAACTCTTGAGTCAGAGACAGAATTTTCTATGGCAGGAACGTATCAGCATTTAAAAGATTAAATGGATACAGGACAGATTTTTGCCCAGAAGAGTTACAATGGGGCAAGAAGCAGATCATTTGATTCTCTAAATAAATTTTCTTTTGTCTTTCTTTGCTTTCCTTCCTCCTCCCCCTCGCCTTCCCCTGCTCCAACGAAATAGGCAAAATCAGAAAATGTGCACACAGGCAGGGTGAAATGCTTATGGCTTGACAAGTTTAATCCTGGACAACCGTCTTCAAAATGTGAAGTCTCTGCTGACATCAGTGTTCGTGTCTGCTCTCTCAGACCACAAACATCCAAACCAAGTAGATTCCTGAAAGATCACCAGGCATGAGCAAATTACTTTCACTGCTTAAACAGCAACTACCTTCTCATTATTGGGAGTAGAATCAGCCTTAAGAAGCCTTATGTGGCTCAGTTATTTAAAAAACAAGAAGAAAAAAGAAAAAAAAAAAAGAAAAAAAGAAGATAGCTGTAAAGCACAAGTTAAGAGTGTCTGATGACACCCACCCCCCTTGCCTTTTGATACTACAGGGGGCCATGTTTTAATAGCCTTATATAGCAAGTAATCTTAGTTGCTGCATCTTGACTGTAGATGGCATAATATGTAAAGTCTACCTTATGCAGTACCATATCGCCCTTGATTTCTCAGTGGGTCAGCTACCAACTTGCAAAATATGAGAGGAAAAATTTCCCTACTACAGTAGCATTAAAAGGACAAGTATGTTAGGGCTCGTGAAGTGGTTCAACTACCGCAATTAAAATGTCTGAGTATGTGAACAACTAAAATAATAACACTGAAACACTAATTTTATAGAACCAGCATTTTGGGCCAAGTCTCATCTAACAGGGTCACTTCAGGGTGGGCAAACTAAAAAAGGCTGACACTAAACAGATGACAGACCAGAGGAAGTACATGACACAAAAGGTGTCATGTCAGCTGCCAGAATACCTGTAATGAAACAGCAACATGCCAAGAGTTTACTCTGCTAGATCATCACACTCAATCTGGACCATAGCCCTAAGTAGTAAGGTGGTGTCTGACCTCAAAAACATGGCCCCAGAACTATCCCCAAAACTGCCTACCAAGCAGGAACTAGTTATTTTAGTGTCTCATGAAGAGTCAAGCTACGTGCCAAGTACATACACATATCCAGGCTCTGGTACAAACCACATATCACTGGGTGCTGCAATACATGGAAGACTGAAGCACTTTCCATCAAGCGCCCAGGAGGGGCGGACATGTCAGTTCAAAGCAGTTCTGATGAAATCTTAAATTAATAACCTGGTGGAAATGCCTGCTATGGCGAGGTCAACATTGCTCACTGGTGTACCCATGATCTGAGGTTGTCTTAATATTGAAAAGTTCATATAATTTAAATAATTGCTTCATGGGAGCTTTGTAGTTACATCTCAAGGCCTGGAAGGTAAAACTGTCCTAACTAAAACACATCAGCACTAACATCTCCCAGAAGTCACTGGGATAACATAGTTGACCTAAAAATGTGTCTAGCTACAAATCACACTTGTTAGACAATCAGTAGGTGGTGGTCATAGGGTGGTGGTGCTTCCACTGGAATTAAGGTTTATTTTTTCTTTAATTAACAAACCCACCAACATTATTTTGTAACTACGAGTTTCTTTTTAAATCGACAGCAAAAACAGTTGGCTGTGGATTTTTTTTTTTTTTTGATTTATTAGGCAAGGGATTAAAAAAAGGTCTTTGTTTTATATCACTTAAATTGTGATGGTTTAATATCCAACATATATAATTCTGCTTTTGTAATTTCTAAAATAAATTACATATTGTGGTTTGATCCTGTATCACTGTGCCTTGAAATAGCTTTAGGAATGTGCATTGTGTACTCATATGGTTACAATTAACTCGGGGAGTAAATGGTTGCACAATCAGGGTGTGTTGCTACTGGAAAACATTTTCAGAAACTAAAGTAGCAATCAGATTGTTTAAATCTGAAACTAGAGAATTTGCACACACATCCAGACCTAGTTATTAAACAGAGTTTAAACCCCTCCCTTCTGGCATTTCAGTAGCTGCCTCTACTGAGCCATGACACAGTTAACATCTTGTGACAATCAAACATTGCCTTGGACAGCTATATGAAAACATACAAGAGATACTTCTGCTTTTTTTAAACATTCACAGAAATTCCTCCCATCATCCCGCATGGAAATGTGATTGCAGTGAGAAGGAGGAAGAATGGGCAAGGCAGACTCCTTGGCCTCAGAAAATAATCTGATCTCCTGGAGCAGCACAAGGTTCAATGGAGAGGAATGCCAGAGGGAAGCTTTACATTGGAGAGAAGCACCTCCTTGGAGGAAGCCCTGCATTAAGCCTGCTCCTCCACATTCATAGTTACGACCTCATTAAGCCACCCCAGCAGGAAGGTCTCCAGAGCATATTCATCTCCATGTCCCTTGAACGATGGTCAAATTAAAATGTCATTTCTGAACAACTTTGTCAAGACATACAGAGAAGGAAAACAACACACATGCCTAAACGTGTTACGTTCACATAGAGAAAGACTTGCTCCTTTTGCACTCCTTCTGCAATAGCTCCTTAAATCTCTTCCTGCTGCCACTGCTGATTTGTATTATGTGCTCTCAGAAACTACTTGTAAGCTTGCTCGCAATTCCTTGTCACGGTATCATACACAGAGCACATTCTATATTTTTTCCTCAAACTACCAAATGTATATATGAACTACAAGAAGGAAAAGATTTTTAAGTGCCCATTTAATAGCTTTCTGCATTGATGCCCAAAGGTAAACCCACTTTTTCTTCTCACTTACCGATTTGGCACTGCTTATTAACAACCCTGTCAAGATCCTACGAGCCTTAAGGCTCGTAAGGCCTTAAGTACCATAGAAAAGTGGCTTACACTGTACTTTATGCACCTACATTTTCATTGCTGTGCCTCTGTAAGATTTGTTCAGGTCTTAAGACTTAGAGCTTAGGAAGCCAGCCACAACCAGTAAATGACATGAGATGAATCAGCACTGTACTGTCTACCGGTAAAAATCTCTACCATGTTACATCCCTGCACAAATCTTACAACTTGGAATTGTAAGCCAAACAGTTTTTGAGGGAGTGGGTGGAATCTGAGCAGACACTGAACCGACTCCAGCCACTAACCCTTCTTTTGGAGGGGTGGAGAACTTGAGACAGATAAGACAGAAAACTGAAGGACCATGGAAAGCTGGATACTGGCTACTATGCACAGCCTTTGCGCTACTCCATAACCATAAAAAAAAAGACAGAATAGTGCCCTATGGAATCCTCTGAATGTATCAGCATGAAACCAGTGGAGTTTGCCTGATGCTGCCTCTGCTCAACACTGGCAGTCCATGGCTGTACCAAGACTTGATCAATGATGGAAGAGGGAGTGGTGAGAATGTGAAACACTCTGGCTATTCTAGACCACAAAGCAGCCTGCAGACAGCTGCACAATCCTGCCATATATTAGAAGAGCTCAGCCCCTACAGCAGCAACAACTTTTGCTAGAGGCCACACTGCGGCCCAGAATTGGAAAAGTGCCACGTGGATGGGAAATATTCTTTGTCCCACTACTGTATTTCAGGGAGGTATCCCTGGAGGGCCAACACTCATCTCTGACGTTCAATACTTTCACCAAAAACTGGCAGGGTGGAAGAGGGAGTGAGGGAAGTTGGAACAAATTCGAAACTGAAGTGGAGGTCTCTTTACTGAATGATATGTTAAGCAAGATTAGCATGCAGACAGCAGAGCAGGGATCTGCTAGCTCTAGGACAAGCAAGGAGGCTGAGAACTCAAGAACAGAAATAGCTACTCCCTTGATCTCAGATGAAGACAAGACTAAAAAACTCCTCTCCTAGCTCTGGGTAAATTATCTGAGCAGCAGGTAGAAGCTAAGTGACTCCAGTGCACAGCCAAAAGGGAAATGCCATTATGCCATGCTGATAGCTAGTGTGCCAGGTTAATGCACGACTGATTTGCCAGCTTGAGGGAGGAAAGCAGAGAGAGCGCCAGAGCTTCATACTTCCTAATGTAAACTGGCAATTACTGAGAGGGAAGACAGGCTTTTGTAGTCTATTACTACATTTAATAACCATCCATTTTAGTGAACCTATTCATAAGAAGCAGCAGCTAGCTGGCCCCTTAGGTTAGAGAGGGAAAAAAATCACCTACTAAGTAGAGTTTATAGAGCAGAAATAAGGTGTGTTCTCAGCCAGAGGCATGGCAAATGTGAATTTCAACATCACTCTTCTACCTCAGACCTGGGATTTTATCTAATTATAGTGAGGTTGTCAATTACTGAACCTCCATGTGTTCAGCAAGTCTGGATATTTATTTGACTTCGCCTGAAGTGTTCTGTTTGTGGATTATTGAGAGTTCAGGTAAGAATGGCTCAAAGAACTGAAAGGACAGAAAATAAGAGCAGTCTGACCTAAATTTAAGGTCAGCCATGCTGTGAGCAATGAGTTTGTCTAGATGATCTCCAAGGTCCTTTCCAACCTAAGTTAATTAATAATTCTAGAATGGACATAGCTGCAGGTGACTAAGCTGTGTAACTAGCATTACTTAATAGAACAAAGTTATACATTTCTCATTGACATACCCTACTCAGGGCACTAGGGAAGATCCAGATTTTCTCTCCTTTCTACTATGAGCAACAGTTGCAAAAAAGGGGTGGCTAGAATTAAGTCATGCTTAAAAATGCCCATCCATTTTAACAACAGTTGCATCTGCTACAAATGCCTAAGGAAAAACACCCAAACATTTAGCTAATATATACATGACATTTAAAGTGTTGGTCAAAGGAACAACTCTGAAACATAAGCATTTTACTTAAGAGTAAATTTTCAAGGCTAGACTAAAGGTCTGGATTCTCTAGAAGAAGAGTCCAGAAAAGATCTGTCCTGTTTAGCCACATAATGCTGAACTACGCAGTTTATTAAAACTAATGAGTATTTATTTTTTGTGTGCACCAAGTCCTTCTTGCCACTGAAAGAAGTTTTAATGTTGCTAAGTCAGTAGCTATGATGTATGTTACGAAATTTCCACTTGCACTGATGTTTTGCTACAGTCAGCTCAATGACAAATGACACATGAACTGGTAACACAACAAAAGCCAAACATTAAAGATTACTCAGTAAATCTTTCTCCCAATTTTCACTTGCCTCCATCCGAGCTTTGTAAAAATCCACATCATGAAGTTTCTCTTTGCACCGAACAAGTTCCATCTCAAGTCTCTCCACACGGTTTGCCCTCTCTCTCAGAGAGTCGAGCTCATCTCTGTATGCTCGGGCAGAGCGAGCATCTGAGGCCAGGTGGATATTCTGTGAGAAGTGAGGAATAAACAGGGAGAAAAATCTTAGTTAATACTTGAAAGCATGTTCTTTAAACTTTATTTTTATTTATTTACTTATTTTAAGCATAGGCAAATAGCATTCCCCTGGTTCAGGAGTAAGAGAATTCTCCTAATTAGCCAGTAAATTCTCTACAAGACAGGGAGGTTCTTCAGCCTCTTAGGACTCTGACATTTCTAATGCCTGATGCTGCATAAGTTTCAGGCATTACCAGGCTATTTGCAAGCTAAACAGATGAGACTGCTCTCACCAGTTAAGTGGAAAGCATAGCATTGCTATGCCATAGCCATAATCGTCAAACAGCTTGCTGGAGTAGCTTGCTTTCTCCATTAAAAAAAAACCATAGTAGTATTTTTAGCCTCACACCAAAAGAGGCTTTTTTAAATAGGGAAGACTGTCACAGCAAAACAAGCCCATCTTACCTCTTGTTTTATTTTTTGCAGCTCTAGGGTGAGCTGCTCAACTTCATGTTTAGAATCTACAAGCTGCTCAGACTTCTCTTCCCTGAAAAGGATTAGAAAAATCCTGTAAGAATTTTTTTTTTCCCTGAAACAATATTGATTATATGGACACGACTGGGAATCCGGAAAGGAAGGTAGAAATCTCCTAGCTTATTCTGAACATAGACCCTCTTTGTCATGACAGCTTCATAAAAGTGAGCGGTTTTTTCTCATGATACCATAAACATATCATGGATCTGAGTTTGCAACTCTGTTTTTATACTAAGTACCTCTGTTTAAATCTCATCAGTCTACTGCTGTCATAGCTAGCTTCACTGACCTCTGGACTTCCCACTCATAACTAAAAAGTGCAGCTAGCAGTTGGCATTGTGAAGAGGGGAAGAGAGAGATGAGACACAAAAAAAAAAATGGAAGTAGCCATCATTCTGTGTTTAAAGACCAGTTAAGAAAGAAGAAAGATGGAACACCCATACTAGCCTCCTACCGCTATGAATAAAAAATTTGAAAGATGTGATTCTGAGAGCTCCCATGGAGGCCAGTGTACTGAAGCCGACAGGCAACTGCATTTTCAGGATGCACACGACTTAATATAAAAGTCTCTCTAGAAGCACAAATCACTGGTGACTCACAGCTCCTGCCGGATTCTTCTCAATTTAGCCTTGGTGTCTGCCAGCTCAACTGCAAGGTGCTGCTTGTCTTCATTAGAAAGAGGGCTGGCTGGGTTTGGTGAAGAATCTGGACTTGGTGCTTTCAGAGGACTTGGTGGTTGCTGAGACTGCAGATAATCTCTCTCTTGAGTGAGATCTACAATGACCTGGAAATACAGAGAAATATGTAGTGTCAAGAAGTATGTAGTGTCAAAAGATGAATAGTATAATTATACATTGTTTTTCAAGTATCTGAAAATGATTTGTAAATGTAGAAAATTATTAGGCTGGCATTATACAGAATTCAAGTGATAGCCTGGAAGGAAGGTTATACAGAGGAGGAAAGGAATCTCCACTATGCTCAGACCACTAAAACATTCCTCTTCCAATGCTCAAAATAAGCAGTCTATTTTCCTTGGAGAATTCATAAAAACCTGTAACAACTAACAGTTTTAACTAACACAATCCCAGTCAAAAGCATGACAGAAAATTAACAGGTTAAAGAAGGGGAGAAGCCTCTTCCAAAGCTCTGAGGGGAAAGGAACTGATGAGTTAGCAACAGATAGGGCCGTCTTCACTAGCCCTTTTCTCCAGCTAGAGAAAAGTTGGAACCCACTATCTACCCCCATGGTAGATACCAATGGAGAGACGGGCAAGCAATCGAAGATGAATGACTGAGCAAACACGCAGAGAAAAAAATCTCAAGACAAAGTCAAAACTTTTACAAATCATTTCACCACACCTTAGTGTTCACGTGAGAATCAATGGAAAAGTCAAAATCTTTCTACGGATTTCCAGAGATGTAGTAGAAAGGTGCAGAAGAAATAGAAACCCAGTGCACAAACAAGACACAAGAGAAGGAATGGAGCCTGCATCTGCTACTTCACAGTAGCTCTATATGGGAGAGATAAGTCATCGTACTTCCGTGCATTCATCTCTCTCATCAATGAGTCTCTTGAGGTGGAAAACCATATTCCTGGAGAGAGACTCTAGTTCTTCTGGGGCCATATCTGGGAGCTCCAGCCACTGCAAGTCGAAGACATTCTCCTGGTTGTGAGTCACCTAGGAACAGGAACAAAAAAATTGTCTTTCCACTGGTTGATTTGTAAATTTGTTTGCTGTATATGCTGCATACCTCAGGTTCTTCTACTGATCAATTAAAAAACATATCACATTTCACCAAAACCAGCTTGTAAATAACAAACACAACTATCTTAACTGTAACACTACCCAGCAATTTCTGCTATTTAGATTTTTTTTTGTAATTTTTAAGGCTGATTTTTAAAAGTGATCAGATACATATTATGATCAATAGCACTTGTGCTTGCATATTAGAAGTATGCAACTGTCTTACTGCAAGCACTGAAGGCGTCACCACAGGGATTTGATGGGAGTGATCCCACACTGACCAGTTAGGCTGGTGTCTCACTGAGAAGTAGCCCTGCTTTCAATGAATTTGCAGCTGATACAGCTGGGAGGAGCTGCCTTTAGCAGAAATGTCTCTGGTTGCTGCTAGCAGTGTACCTTTCAACTGTTATCTTACCCAAACTGATTTCCTCTGAATCATTTAGCAGAAATGTCACGCAAGTCTCACAAGCTCAGTTAAAGACTGTTGCTGCTTTTGCCATAACCATGCACTTAGTTCACCACGATTTTATTTTTTTTAAAAGCGGAACTATTTTTTTAAGTGTTAAGAAAAAAGTTCCTGTCTTAGACTTCCACTATTTGTTCCTCAGATCTGAGCGTACCAGGCTTTCTACACCTGCACACACTGACACGCAGCCGCAGCCAGCGCCCGCTGCCGGCGAGGCGCACCCAGCAGGGACCGTTTCCACATGGCTCTCCTTTGGGTCTCCAAAGCAACCTGGCTCCTAAAGCCTACCTGTATTCCTTCCTTTTACAGAAACTTCAGAAGTCCAAGAATACTCATCATTGGATCAAACTTCTCTTTAAAAACAGAGTATATAGAATCATAGAATCATTAAGGTTGGAAAGACCTCTAAGATCATCAAGTCCAATCGTTAACCCAACACCACCATGCCCACTAAACCATGTCCCTAAGCGCCTCATCTACACGTCTTTTAAATACTTCCAGGGACGGTGACTCTACCACTTCCCTGGGCAGCCTGCTCCAAGGCCTGACCACTCTTTCAGTAAAGACATTTTTCCTGATGTCCAGTCCAACTTCAGCCGCAAAGTACACCTTTCAAGACCATCTGAGCTCGGAGGCCACTGTCCGAAGCAAGCCACTGTGTCTCACCTACCACAGGACTCGGAGTAAGTGCCTACACCATTGCTGGAAGAGGCACTGCAGCTCCTAAGCCATACATGCCTTTTGGAAATACTACACATGCATCCTTACAACAATTCTTGCTACAGAACCTATAACTGGCAAGCAAGGCATTTACCACGGCATCTCTTTAAAAGACCACTGAGCCAAATAATGTTCCCAGCGCCTATTATTTTCATCTTATAATTTGACTGCAGTAACATTAAAACTTTTTTTTGGTGAAGTTCCTGAATCCATTATGAAATTCCAAGCATTAAAATTTCATAGCAAAAAAAACCTGTTAAGTCAAGGAAGGGAGAGATAAAAAGTCAAAATAGACAATATTGAGAGTCCCACCTCCTGAATGTGTGACACAATGGCAGCTTGGGTTTCAATATCCAGTTGTTTTATTCTTTCAATAAACTCTTCTTTTCTTTCACACTGTTAAAAGAAAACACACTCTAAAACAGTGCTACATATTTTAAAACTTACTGCACCATTCTTCATTTGAATAAAAAAAATCCCCACATTGCTAACAACAAAATGTTCAAGATCTACACTTTGTCACAGTAGAAGGTATAACACACTTCATTGTTCCACATGGAGCATGAACCAAATTATGCATTAAATTATTTAAGCTCTTTACAGTACTGGCTCTTTACAGCCAGTACAATTAAGGCTAAGTTAAATGGCTGGTTTTGCTCTTTAAAAACAAGTTCAACATGCAATGAGATCAAGAGGTGGGCAACAGTCAGAGGAAATCATCACAGCTTCATTAATGGAGCTGCACAAGCCTACATTTACATTGTGTCATTTAACCTGTCTGCTTTACTGTTTGCATTTTGCTTGGTTTTGGCAATTAAAAGAGATGCATCACTTCAGATACTATTCACATCAATACATAATGTTGCTTGTTGGACTAAATCAACATGTGCTTTAGACAAAAAATGGGATTGGGAAACATTCTGGATAAAAATGAGTGACATTTCAGACAAACAGACTTTAGTAAATCTTTTACTTAAGGCTTTAAAAGAGGCAGACATCTGCTATCTGTATATCTGTGATTGTACACTAACAACATTACTGCCTTCTTGTAACTCTGCATTGTGGAGAAGTTAAGCATTACTTAAAGTTTTTTTAAACTCATTTACAGTGTCCTTTTGGGGCCTGGTCCCAAGTCTCAACCTTTCCTTTCACTGGGAAGAACCTCAGACCTGTTACTGGGACAGAGGATGCACAGCAGCTTGCCAAATCAGATCTTTACTCTTTGTGCTGCAATACAACACTGAGATAGTTCAGAGCAGCCATATGTAGACAGCTTTACCCTGACATAATTGACTTGACGTAGCTGGGCAGGGTAAGTGTCCTAAGGCATGACAAAAACACTAGACAGACCTACAAACAAGGTCAATTATAAGCAAAGGCTAGCCCGCAACGCGTCTATTGTTTATCACCACAGAGGTTTGGTGGGCAGAACACTGATTTCTTTATCTGGTAACTGTCATGCATTTCTGGGGAGTTTCCCATACACATTGCCTGTCTATTTATTTTAACAAATGCTGCATAAAAATCCCCACATGAATATACAAAGTATCTATTAATTTCAGATTTTCTACAGATAATATTCAATCAAAAGATTATGCAAATAAAATCAGGATTCATTAAACAAATGTTTAGACTATTAGATTATCTATTTGCTTGGCATTAATATGTACTGTCCCACTCCGTATGTTAAAACAGTAAGAAAATAAACCAACAACAATCTTGACACCAAGAACACTGTTCAAAGCTTATCTCTTCCCACTTTGCCATCAAAGTGGACTACTTAGTTGCAAGAATTCACATCCTATGGCTGATTAAGCATTGGCAGCAAATTGAGTCTGCTGCTATCACAGTGTGCTTCCTTTCCCCTGCATTTCTTTCATTCACCTATTGTGTCTTCTCACAATTTCAGCTCACAAGCTGTCTTGAGCTGGAGATTTGTTCATACAGCACTGATCTTTGGGTGGATTTTCTCAGTCCAGAAAAAAATAACAGATTCAAAAAAAATCTTATTTTTCAAGCCTTTAATGAATGTTCACCTGCACAGCACATCCCAGAACCAACAACAGCAGCTTCTTAATTTCATCCATACTTTTACCTAGAGAGGAGAAAAGGGAATCAGTACATATGTACAACAAATTAAGTACTTGCAAGTGATCCTCTCCAAAATATCTGCCTGAAAAGAGAAATAAGACCTTTGAACAAGTGCCTGAACAACATATATGTGCCCATTATAACGTTACCATACTTTCCGTGTAACAAAACAGTTCTTATGGATTAGTTTAAAATCCCAAATCCAGCAAGACTTTTTTTTCCTTGATGTGCTATCCTCACCTACATTTTCTGAGGCTTTCTTGATCAATGCAGGAAAAAAAGAAAAAAAAAAAATCCTTTAAATAGTTCAGTGCAAATGCCCCATACTTGTCCCTTGTTTTGTTATTAACAAGGGTGCAAAAAAGCCCACCAAACCAGCACCTTCCCCCCCCCTCCAAAAAAACCCCACCAAACCAAAACAAAAAACACCCTGGGCAGAAGCAAAGGAAGGTTACTCTCAAAGAAAGAACTTGTCCTAAACTCTCTGTCTGTAAAATAGTTGCCACTCAGACCTCCCAAAGCCGAATGCCATTCTGTGCACATAAATTCTCTCCAAGAGATGTTTTAGCAAATAAATTCTGCCTATGTCCTGCATCAAAGCCTGTTCACACTTTGAAGCGCAAACCCCATGTGCTAAGAAGGATAAAAAAAATGAGTGATGTAGAAGGGAGAATATGCAGCTAACCATATGCTCGAGGAGCCATGGTGGGGAGGAGACACACGCAGGTTGTTATTGCAGGGAATCCTGCTGTGACCAAGAGCCCTGCCCGCCACCTCCTAAGGTTAGGAGAGAGAAAGCCGCACAAGGGGAACTGGTGTGGCTTTGAGCCAACTCCAGATCTTGTTTCAACAAAATTAATGTGGGGATTGTTGGGTGGTAAAGAAAATTATATATATCAAAGATAGACAAAGGGAGATGGAAGGCAAGGAGCTTCAACAAGGAAATAAAAAATCATTATGCAGTTAGGTTCAGGAAAAGCCTGTCCTATCCGCACTGGAGAAAGAGGAGGAGAGAGAAACAGGCGACATACAGTTTTCTCTCATCCCTATACATCTGCATGCTTCCTGACACAGAGTGTCTAACTGTGCGATAAATGCTTTCATTTTATATCCTGCTATACTTGGGTGTTCAATTGCTCCTATCACTAAATAGATAATAATTTCTGAATGCAACTGTGTTCCTCCACCAACACCATGCCCTTGTATGGCTGCACTGGCAGAAAGTTAGAGGCATGGGCAGGACCCAAGGCTGGGGAACTGGAGTTACACTGACTCATCAATTAAGCTGCCGCAGCCCCGCAGATGCACAAAGGCACACTGACCTAAATTACCATAGGGGTTACTTCCATTCTGAGAACCTTGCAAGCCAGCACGGCCACGTGCAGGCAGCTCAGGAAATAATTTGTTTTCCGATTTCCTGATTTTAGGGCAAACAAATGCCCTAAACCGGTCTTTAAAAGTACCTTACCTGTTAAACAATTTTTCAACAGCTTTTAGGAATGTTGATCTTTAAAACGTTTCAAGAATGCCCTACAGAAATTATCCACATACTGTATGAATCAACACTAGAATTCTCAACATCCAAGTCCCACATTATTAATCATTACGATTTTGCAAGCAGGAATTCTTCTCTTCTGCAGAGACAGACATAATTAAAACGTGCTAGTTCACACTTCACACTGTATAGACAATATTGTTTATTTCCTTGAAGAACATTTAAAAACTATTTTTGAAAGATGTACAATCATTCTTACTCTTCTCCCCGTACCTAGCAGCATACATGGCTTCCTCTTTTCTGAAAAATTACAATTTAATATACAAATAACATTTCAGTCTGTGAAAGTCTGATTGTTCTGTATGATTCTGAATAACACAACCTTAAACGCAGACAGTGTCACAAAAAAAAAAAAAAGATCTGTTACTTCACGAACAGTTCCTTTGAGGGCACTACTAGTCCAAGGAGACACTGAGTTGCAGGGTTTGTTTTGTTTTGTTTTTTCCACAAAACTGAGTTCTCATTAGAGTTTCAGCATCGGGTTTCATTCTCCATCAGTTTCAGAGCAGATCCAGACCATGGATTAAATGCAGAGCAAGCCTGTCGAACATGAGAGCAACTTGCTAAGTTATGGGGAGCAAGTGACTCGAGTGTGTGTGTCTCATCCTTCCAAACTTACTCAGGGCAGAACATCTTCTCTGGAAGAGACTGAAGGAGTAGCCACCAGGCTGCTTGCTCCAGATCACACCAGACAAGTGCTCTAACCCTTGCGTGCTCTGGGCACCTCCATCTGTTGCCCATAAATTCCAATCCGTGGACCACGGCATCACAGCTATCCTCAGGATGAGCCTCGTGGCTTAAAATCACTCATTTTAGAAAACATCAGTGTTACTTTCCAACAGTGAGAGCATCTATACCAACCTAAAGATATACGAGCTACTTAAGCCATTCAAACCACACTCTACTTCTCTGCACCGAAGGCAGTAGGCTTTGATATTCTTCCATGAGATAACAGATGGGCATTGGTGATGCTGCATGATCCTGTGACGTGAAACACCTTCCGCTATTACTGCAGAGTAACTTAGCAAGGTCAACCCTGTTCTCCCACCAGGGACTGACCTTGCCTGGAAATACCACTCCGAGATCTTGTCTCCACTCAGGCCCTCCCATCAGGAAGGGAAGCTGAGGCAGACACAGCAAGCCCCTTTGGCAGGGAAGGCCAGAGTTCATAGAAAGGAGTGAAAAAATTAAAAGACTCGAGGTAATCATGAGATTATTAGTTTGCTACTATTTTAAAGATAACATTTGGCAGCCCGCTCTCCCCACTGGCACCTTTCACAGAAAACTTAGCTGTCAGCTTTTCAACAGCATTAAAGCATAAATTATTTTATGCTTGCAGACGTGCTATGCACCTGTAATGAAAATGAGATTGTACTACCCACTAGAAACACTTTTAAGGCTGAGAGGTCTACTTAGCAGATCTACTCTGCCAGCCACATAAGTGTTTCAGAAGATCATGTGTGACTGTTTTGAAGAGTTCAATTCCTTGGGCACATTCAGAAGCTGTTTCCCATGGGGTGCAGACAGTTTGTTGGCATTAAGGCCAACTTCGAGATCACTCATACTCAAGTTAAGTTTGAGTAACATTTTAAAGCCTCATAGAATAACATTATTTACAGGAGATATTTAAAAGAAATAGGGTATGAGTATGAAAAACCCTCTCTACCAATCTAAAGTGCTTAGAGAGAGTTTTCAATTAAACCTCAGAATGAGCCAGGAAGGGATTAATTACCCCTCTCCCCTTTCATCTCACCCTCAGGACAGCTGAGATACCACACACTTAAGTGGCATGCCCAAGGTTACTAAGTGAATTGGAAGCACATCTAGGATTACTACACAGCGCAGCAGCCAAGTTCTACACTCGGCACAGTGCATTTATCCTGCAATGCATGTTGAACAAATGCAAGCAATCTTTATCCCCAATTCAGTCATGTCTCCTGACCAGTGAATGATTCTGTGGTGTTTTTCAAAAGGCTTGATTTGTGCTAATTTAATAAGGTGGTAAAGTTCCTTGTACAATTGCAGGAATGTGCAGGTTTCCCTATGCTGGTTCATTGGGATGACACAAGTACTTCTATACAGCTGGGAAGAAAGTCTGCTGGGTCTACCCAGGCTTATTAGCTGACTTTACCAAGACAGTGTCCTCCTACGACCTGGATGCAAATGCTTAGGTCTGGGGCAGCTCCTGGCAGACAGGTACCCACAAGCTGAAACGAATGGACAGGATTCAAACTAGCACTTAAACAGAAAGGTGCTAATTTAAAACAAAACAAAAAAAAAACCCCAAACTCTTTTCTTTTACACCTTTTTGAAAATTCCAGGGCAGCTGCTCTCAGGCCACATGTTTGTGCCTGCAAGGGAGCCAGCCACCTGGGGGATTTGCAGAAAGACCATCTGCTCCCAACTATAAGGGAAGGCCAGCAGGTTTCCTGGAAAACAAAGGGAGGGAAAGCCCGAGCACCACCTGTGCATCCTGGGAGCCTCCCTGTGCCAGAGCCAGGAGACCCCTCTGCTCTCACAGGGGACAGAGGGTGGGAAACAGATGGCAGGACTCAGGGAGAAGCCGGGCAGAGGGATTAGGAGACACAACTAAAGAGGAGGATTCAAGGTACAGAGAGAATACAGATGATGAAAAAAAAATGAGGGGGGTAGGAAAGATGTCAGAGAAAACAAATGAGAACCCAAGCATGTGAAATCTTGAGCTTGTGATGCTTCTTTCTGCACATTTCTACTTTGACAGTCCTCCAGCAGAGAAGAGGGAGTGCCAGCGCACATAGAGCTACACATGGCGGCCGGTGGATGTGCAGAGAAGGTGAAACACACAAGCGACATTTTTCCCAACTGTAGCAACATCCTGAGTGAGAAAAGCTTGAATGCTAAATTTACACTATTGAGGCAGTGTTTTGTTATTAACTTTATATTTTATGAACCTTTGTGCCTCTGGAGGATCATGAAACAAAATGAGGAAGGAAACCAGACATGAAAAAATACCCCAGTGAGACTAGACATCTTTTATGATTTTAATGAAAAACAGTTTCTAAAGACACTTATTAGCAGGGACTTTGGGCTCTCTCATTCACAAACTTAACATGTAATTTGAAAAGGGGATCTGAATCACAAAATTTTTTGAAGAGACAGAAATGAGCCTACTTCAGGCAAATAAAACCTCATTTCCATTTTTGGTCTGAAAAAAGTTAAAATCCCTCTTCTCTCTCCTCCCCCCTCCCCTCCCCCCATTAACTATGACTGTTTCAAAGGATTAATTGCCATCAGTTTCCAAGTACACTCACTAGCTGTGTTAAACTAAGCATGTCTACAAACTAAGAAATTAAACACCTCTAAATAGAGATTCAGGACCAGTACTGTACACTGATATTTCTTGTGTGGGCACATGAATGAGTGGCCATTTATAAGGCATGCTAAAACCAGAGGTAATTATAAAAGGTGATTACAGTGATGTGTATAGATGATAAATACGCTGATGACTCTCATATTGAGCACAGGGGGATTTGTGGTGCAGTAATGAATTGAAAAAGCTGTTCAGCAAGAAAAAACATGGAGGAAGATTAAAAACAGAGAGGAAATTAATGGTAGTAGCTGTCTACTGTACAGTGCAGTGAAGAGAATAAATCCTGTAATGTCAGCTGCATCACTCTGCAAGTCAGATTCCTGGGAAAACTTTCTAAATCCTTTAATTAAACTTTCAAGTTTCTTTTCAGCTCCCTATATTCTAGAAAACAGTCAAAGCCTTCATCATCTTACAAATATTTTTGCAATTTTTATGCCCATGGCCAAATGAACTGAAATAGGCAAAATTGCCATGGCCTGGAACAAAATGATTTAGAGGACATGAAAGCAAGGAAAGCTCCTAAACCCAGCAGAGGTGCCATCTTCTATGCAAAAGCCCAACTGCTTCTGCATTTTTAGTGGTGGCAGTTCTGTTTTTCCAATAGTCTCATGTTCAAAGCAGAGCTGCAGAAGTCCTCAGTAGTCCCAACTGTTGAGTGCTAAATGAGAGCTAAATAGCAAGAACAGCATTCTCAGCTTTAGAGCTGTTCAGTTTATAATTTAATATATATAACACCACTTTTGGCTGTGTTTTAGAAGGAAAAAGTAAAATTCGCATTAGCACTGGTGAACAGACAGCTCTGAAAAACATGCATAGCAAAACATCATGTGGGCTTGTTACAAGGAGTAAGTCACTGAAATTGTTACACAGTGAAACACATTGAATGATCTAACAGCTCTCTGGTCTTGGACCAGAGAGTCAATACAGTCACTAGGAGCCTTCCCAGCTCAAACAGTACAAAGCAACACTGTATTTGTTCCAGGAATGTCATCACGGGATCAATTTTTCTTCCTCTGGTCAAGAGGGACCTCTCATTCAGATAACTTACCTACAGGATGGGGAAGGCAAAACTGGGATTTCAACACTGCCTGTCAGATCCACCCCAGCCTGCAGACTGCCTGCACCTCAGCCTCCAGCTCCTAGTGCTCCCCACATTGCCCCACACTGCCTCTGCAGATGCCCCCTCCATGACTCTCCTCCTTCCCTCTCAGTCTCTGTCCTGGACTGGATCACTGACACAGAGAAAGAGGTTCTCCTCTACCATTCCTGCCACTTTTAAACACTTCCCTCAAACAACCGTCTCCACCATCTCTTCTCCCCATACTGCTGTCACCCCCAGCCTCCTCACTTCTCTGTCAGCTTTCCCTGGGGCTTCTCTGTATTCATGCCAGAAGCACCACTTCCCATGCTGATGACTGCTTTGTCCTTGCATCTCTACTCAATCTGAAGCCCTCCTTTAGCTCTCTCACTGACAGAAAGAATCTCTCATTTCACTTGGCTTTCCCCTCCCAAGTGCCCCTGCCTTTCTCTCACTCCTCTCTGCAAGACACTCAGTAACAAAGACATCAACCTGACAGTCACCTGGTTATCGCTCACCCACATTGCTCACCACAGCCTATTCCTTCATTCAGCTTTTTGTATTGGTTTTACTAACTTCTCCTCAGCCCTCTCCTCCCTGTTCCCTCTTTTCAAGCTTCCCGTCAGCCCTCAGCCAGGTTCCTCTTCTTGAAGGAAGTTCTAGTTCTCCACTTCTTTAACCGTTTCTTCAGCACATCTTACCAGTGGTCATCTACCTAAGCATAACGTTAAGATGAGCTTCTCTTGAAATCCTATTCCTCAGACACTCTCCTCCTTGAATGCACTCTTTGGAGCAAGCACATCTCAAATCTTTCTTTGTTCACCACCTTCCTCTGTAGTGTCTACACTGGTTCTCAAAACCATTATATAATATGGCTACACAAGAACTTCATTTTTTTTATACACACATACCCCATCAATTTTAGACATGCAGAAGTTACATTTTTGCATTCTTTGTCCTCTCCTCCCATGTTCTGAATAATGCCAATGGTAAGTCAGCAATGGATAAAATAAATTTAAAAAGACCACATTAAAAAAAAAACCCAACCAAACAAAAACAAACCACCACATTTTAAAACATGTCAGAAAGTGAAGCAGAATTTCTGGTTGTAATTAAAGGAGCTGGAAGATGAGAACACCAATATCTTTCCTACAAGAGAAATCAAGTACTTTCTTCAAAGAAAGAAAGATCTAAGGTGCTGACAAAAAACAGCAGGTCAATGATGGGAAATTATAGCTAAATACAGGACAGCTTTCAAGTGTGCAGCTTCCCCAGGAACCAACATAGTGGTTACTGCATTATTAGTCTCCTGCCAGCTGTCGCTCAGGAATGGCCATGACAAGAAACCAGCCAGCCTTTTCCATTGACACTTAGCCAGCAGAGACGCTGCCTTGTTGGCCCAGACATCTCTATTCACCAGCATTCTTGATGCTAGCAGCCCAGGCTCTGCCCATGGCCCACAGACTGAGAAAAGCAACAGCTCTTGTACTTCTATTTTCTTCTTTACCCGTAACGGTAGCCTGTTCAGGAGAATTAAGACTGCCATTGCAGTCTTTAATCTGCTTGCTGAAGAAGTGGATGCCTTACCCTCAGCTTGATTTTACTGCAGAAGTGCCAAGACTATGAGTTTCAGTGATCCAACATCTATAAGTTAATATTCTTTTCTGATATAAACCCTTTTTTATACATACACACACTACTGCTGCTAAGAGCAGCAAAATAAAATCTTCTGCCAAGCTTTCTGCCATTTGTTTGTTCTGGAGATGCTGATTACCATGATGATCCCCATCACTGCTGAGTGGGTTCATCCAGTTTTCCTTCTTTGGTAAAAACAAATATATTGTCGTTGGCACTGGCACGGGGCTAAGGCAGAGATAGAACGGGCATGCAAAAAAAAAAAGTAAAAACCACAGCAACAAAACCTTTCATTTCAGAAATGTGGTTCTAAGGAGAAGCAACTTAGTTTTCAGGCTAAATAGCTTTCATTTTGTCTCACCAAAGACACTGGACTCTGGACATGAGCTCATTGGCTTCCACATCACTTTTGATGTGATACCTCATGTGACAGATGTCCTTGCCTAGACAACATGGCCAGACAGATGTTCTTCTCCTTGTCCATTTCCTTCCTCACTTTTTCCAATTTGTCAGATACATATTTTTCTCTCCATCCTCAGGTATTTTTCTTCCCACACTTCATTTGCAACAGTTCCTTCACACTTTAGGGCAATTCTACAAGACTTTTCTGGTGTGTACATATTGCCACAACTGAACTGATTATACAGGCACACAGGGCAGAAAACCTGGAGGACAAACGATTCTCCTGTTGCAGACTGTATCCTGAGTCACTTGAAGCAAGGAGTGAAGACACATGACTTTTAAGCAAACAGTTGCTGCTCTGGCTTTAGCAAGAACTAACTCACTGTCACATGTGTACGATGTGCAAACACACATATAACTCATTCTATTTGTATGTAAAGATACGTAAATATAAGTATTACATACTAGATACGTTAAATGATGAGACTCAGAGGTACTCAAATATTTGTAGTTTGGCTACAAATACATATAGTTTGTTTAAAAGCATGTTTGTTATTTAAGAAAACTAAAAAAATACAAATTTTATTTAGCATTTTAGAGGAGGGGGGTGAAGAACCCAACAAACTACTCACCAGAAAGAGGATCTTTACCAATCATCAAAACATTTGGTAAATTCATTACAATCAGCTGCTGGAGGACCTCCTAAACAAAAGAGAACAACAGGCAAAGTTCAGTGTGAAGGAATTCCAATCAATCACACCACAAAGAATACAGAGCTCCATCGATTACAAAGCTTTTAACATACTGACAGGTCAGAGGTCACAAGAGGAAGCCCCACTTTAGAGAGAAATCACTATTTGAAGATGGCATCAAGTTGCACAGCTAACATACACTAATCACCTCTTTTAACAATGGCTAATATAGAAATTAAAGGGTCCCATGGCACTAATCAGGATAAATGCATGGCCATGCCAGGCACACCCATCAGTCATGCCTTTACCCCAGGCATGACCTGTATTCATTTGATGTTCAACATACAGCTGCTGTCATGTTCCAGGGCGTACAAATGCAGTGGGTTCATCAAAGGTACCTAAGCCATTCTGTGAAGTTTGAGTAATTCAAATAATTAGTCAAATTATTTTGCGGGTCTGACATTTTAATGATGGACTGGGGAAGTGGGTGTGGGGGAGGCTATTGAACAGACATCTTGCACTGCTCAGAGAAACTGGAGTTAAAGTTCTAGATTTGCTTGCATTGTTTTTAATGGGGAGGAAAACAGATCTAAGTATGTCATGAACCTCATTTAAAGGTAATTTTATTTTGGGGGAGACGAGGGAAGGGAGGTGCATTGCTTGGTCAGGTTCAATATTTAAATGTCAGCTGCCTGAAGCTACTATGAAATGACAGAATGGGCTTAAGGGACAGGAAAGGCTACAAGCCCTGGGGCAGGTAAAATGCTCAAAAGTGGACAAACAAATATATTGCAAAGGGGACTCTGCATGGTAATATGTTCAGCCATGCACCCCAGGAACATACAGAGCACAGGAGTAGAGTTGTTAGCTTCAACCTGCAGTTACCAGCACTCACTTGTGATGATCCGAATAAAACATTTTGCAGGCAAGTATTTATTTCACATAAAAAACCTGGGAGGAAAATGGTTGTGTCATTAAAGCACTGTGCTGGGATTGAGGAAACAAAGGCTCGCACATACAACTCTACCAAATGTTTGGCAGGTGCCTTTTCCCTGCTTGTCTCCATTTCCTAGCCTACCTCTAAGCCACTGGGAGGGCACGTGCATTGATACTTGCACAGCATTCAGAGCCAGGAGAAAAAGTACTGCAGCTGAGCACAGAAACACATTTCCTGAAACAATCACCCATTCACCCCAACACTTCCCCTCCAAGTTACCCCATTGTTACTTCTCTTTCAAAGTTACCATAGGAGGAAAATTAAGCCTGATTGAAAGAGGAAATATTTCAGTGAGTCTGCAGCATTTGATAAGTAATCAGAGTGGATATTCTAAAAAAAAAAAAAAAAAGTTTTAAACATAACACTTTTTTTTTTTTCTCTGATCCATATCCAAAACATACTTCTCAGCAGTTTCTCTTTTGGATAAAGTAGAAATATCTCAGTGTCACAGCTGATGGGGTTTTTGGTGCTGTTAAGAAGGCTCTACAGACCTTTATGCAATGTGAAGTTTGGCTAATGCGGACCAAGCATTCGCTGAGTCATTAGCCAAATATATTTTATAGTTTGCATTTGAGACATGTTAAACAAAAGTTTGTTTGCACCTGTTACCAAAACAGGTGCAAAACCTATTGGATTTGACAGCACATGGCTGGACTGCAATATTTGCTATGACAATACAGCATGGCACTGAGGCTTTAAACAAAAAATCAGAATTTGCATATACCGAAGTATTGAGCTTTAACCAGCAATTTCCATGGCAAAAAAGAGAAAGAATTGTGCTTCCAGTCACCCAGCATGTGGAGTGGCACTGAGGCAGGAATGCATAAGGAATTTGCGTTGTCTTTGTGTAATCATCAGATCATTAGCTATTTAACTAGCAGACACAAAAGACATTACAGCTAACCTTTATGCTGTTAACATTCCCATGAGCTCCTTCTGTAAAATTATTTGTGTATACCATCCAACATAACCATGACTGAACGCCCTCATAGCTGTCTGAACTTAGTATTTTCTGGCAAGAATCTGACAAGTCGCTCAATACAAGCAGAAACGGCCCTGAGCCTGCAAAGAGTGATTTCTTAATTTGGACTAAGATTCTAATTGTTGCAAAAGGTGATACTCTGACCCGTTTATTTTTAAAATAAATTGTTTAATCAGATAACTATCTTTATTGTTCTAAATGCCTTCACCTTCAGATTAGTGCCTGCGATAATACCTAGCTGCTATGCAGTGCAGCTCACCGGTAGATCTCAACACTTTGTAACAGAAGGTCAATGTCATTGCCCTCCTTTTTCAAGATAAGGAAAGTGGGTCACAGAAACAGAGTTACTTCAGTTGAATAAACTATCCTCTGTTAACAGAGATGTACCAAGGAACCATCCACTCACACAGCTACAAGTGTGAGATAAAATGTGTTATACTGACAAATTTAGCTCAGATTTTGTCTGGGCTAAAAACACAGAAAGTTAGTAAGGCTCAGCCTGACACCCAGTGACGGACTCAGTAGTTGGGATAATGTGACCGTGTCTCAGGTCCATTGCTTAAAATCCCACATCTGGAAAATACACCAAAGTCCCCTCCGCTAACAGCAAATCAGGAATTCTTCCATTTCCATCAACTCATCAATATTTTCTTGTTTTCTTTATCAGAAGCAGCAATAATGCAGGTTTACAAGTAAAATGCTGTGCCTCACTCTGACCTCTCTGCACCCCTCATGTTTTACCATCCCACCCCGAAGACCCCGTGAAGTCAAACTTGGGCTTCAGGCAGGGAACTGTGCTGTTACAGCCTGTGAACCGGGACCGAGGACCAAAGGGCTCCATGGACCCGACCGTCTCCCAGGATACAGCTACACTGGACATTGGGTTAACCTGGACACACCACTGAAGCCCAGACAGCAAATGAAATGGTAGATAAAATGCAACATTTCCCCACAAGGGCAGCAAGTTATTGTATCACATAAAAGGATGCTGTTATGCTTGAAATCAAAGATATTTGCAAGACACCACAGCAGAGGCAAAGATGGCGTGTATGTGTCCTTCTGCCCCAGGCGACCAGCATGGCCAGGGGCAGCACACCCAGGCAGGAGCTGCTGGAGAGCAAAGCAGGGTTTTCAAACACTTTAAATAGCCCACAAAACCCCACAGTACTCCGGAGAGCAACTGTACAAGCAAAAAATCTAATTCCTCCTGTGAGAAACCTTTTAATCATTTTTACAGCACAACTAAAGCTTCGTTAAAACAGTAAAGTAACAACAGCAACGACATATGGTAATAGTTTCCCTGATTATTAGAACAATTAGGGTCTGAGCTGCCAGGTTTACACCTAGACCATTAACCAACTCGCAGGCCAGCTACTGCAAGTAGCTAATGAGATTTTCATGAAGAAATAGTGTTGGTATCAGAACTCTTATTTAAGGAATTCAATTCAAAACAAATCCCCATCAGGCCTAGTGCAGCATCTGTAGGTGCCCAAAATGCTCCTCTGCCAAAGATCAGGGTATTTTAAGCTGGAAGAGATTTGTCCAAAATCTCAGCAGTGATGGTTGCAAGAATGGATGCTTCTAGTTAGCAGGTCAACACTACTAAAAATCATAAACAAAACAAACATAAGCAGCCAAGTCTTACACTACTTGAGCCAGACCCCCAAACTCAGTAAATAAAGCCCACAAAGGTTTCTGCGTGCAGAGTTATGGGATCCCATATCGAGAGGGAGGGTTTTCTAAGTGAAGGTCAAACTGGGTGTTCAGTCCTTGCTTGCTCCCTCTGCTGTGCTTGCCTGCAGAGGTGTGGAGCGTGAAGCAGGCTGAGACAACCGGCAGATCTGAGCAACGAGATGGGTACTGCCTAAGCCAGAGGTAAGTTTTGCTGAAAGCAGCTAGGCATTCCAGGACTGGTACCCCAAGGATTCAAAAACATTATTAAGTTACCTAGAAATCATGAGGTTAAACATAAATAAATAAATGCCGTGTTCTCATTAGCAGCCTTCTGGCATCTAAGCCCTTGCCGCGCACTTGCTTCATGTTTGCAAGTTCTTTGCAATCACTTTGCTAAGAAAGGAGCTTAAAAAAAAAAAGCCAAAATTCCTCCACATTGATTCTAGCAGTCAAGGGCTTTAGGAAAAATCAAGACACATACAAGATTCAGGATAAAATTCTAAGCACCCAGTTAAGCGCTTAGGCTTATTAAGAGCATGAACAAACATATTCATTCTCTCCATCTGAAAGTTTCTAATTGGTTTCTGGAGTGCTGAGGCACGTTTTACCTACTCTTTTTAATCCTTCCAAGATCACACACACCGGATGTTTGCTCTCTGCCTCAGATCATCAGAAGAGATGCAGTGGCAGCTCTCACTCTCAAGTCACCATGGTCACATATTAACATTTTTATTTACCTGTAACAGGGTAAGTGGACCCCTTGTAATTTTGTAGGAACAAAGTCTCCTTGGGCCATACTACACTTCAATACACCTTTGCTTCTTAAAAATACATGTGCCATAGCATGGAATAAAATGGTATTAAGGTATTATTCTCAGTTGCATTTTTAAGTGCCAATGTAAGCATGCCAACGGCTCCTGAAAAGAATGCATTGCTAGGAAAGGAGTAGGTAAAATTGTCCTTTCCACGGCTGAGAGACCACGCAAATACAAGCTCTACACAAAAACTTTCCCCTGCACTGCAGTACAGCACAGCATTAATTTGAGTAACTACTAGTTTCTCATGCAGAATTAAATTAACCTCTGCCTGAATCCTAAACAAGAAGCGAGTACTAAATTATGTAAGAAGAGCGGCAGTCTACCGGCCATTGTAATTCAATGCTCAAGCCAAGCAATTCCATTTAAGTATATTGCTTGGCTATAAAATGCTAATTGCCAAACTAACTGGAAGCCAAATGGTGCTTTCCTACTTAAAGTGCCCATGAGGAAAAACCATCACCAGCTTTATTTATACCAGCAAGAGCAAACACTACCTAGCCAGGGAATCTGGCTTACATTTCAGCTGCAACTCAGGCAAC